GACTTTATTCTCAAAATATTTAGATTTTATTCTTGTAATTTTGACTATTCTCGTAATTTTGACTTTTTTCCTCAGATGTCAAATAGACGTTTATTAGATGTCTTTAAGATGTTTATTTAGAATGCATGTAAATCTGACATCTTAGAGACGTCTATCAGATGTTTGTACACAGCAGATGCTTTCCAGGTGAAGCGATCTTTAACAGAGGCACGTGTGCTGGGATGGCACTAAAACACTGTTGTAATACAGAAACCTCGTTTCTAGATAATATTTCTCCAGCAAAAACTCAGATTTCTCGACAAAGCATGCTTAGACATAAGCTCTATGAACAGCATTTGTGTGGGAGTTTGCTCAGTGTGAAGAGAGTGCATTTCATTCAGTTGCATCACAACCCTTCTGAGTTACTTGCATGTATCGAGCATAAATTACTGCGTTTAATGGTCATGACATGAATTAAAAAACCTTGGTTAATGAAGAAAAAAATGACAAGGTTAATGAATAAATTGTAGATGAATTGTATATTTTAAATTTTCAGTATTTAAAAAGTATTTGTTTCTTATTTGTTTTTGTTTCGTTTCACAGGAAAAGCATGCCAAGACAACTGTGATAGCACCACAAAAAGACAAATAGCCTATGTCCAATGAATATATATTATAACAGAATAAAATACTTGTGATAACAAAACAAACACTAGAACAATTGCTGGAATGGAATGGATATCAATGATGAATGATGCTTTCTGAATGATAAAGAAGGATGCTGTTTACTGGCTTCTGGTGTAGTTACCGTATCAAACCAGTAGGGGCTAAAGTGGCCATGCAACCTGTAAAACCCTTGGCCCCAAGAGAGAGCCTTCATGGTACAGAGTTTCCTCTAGTGGTCAGTGCACACTGGACACTGTAACAGACACTGCAAGACACCTGATTTATGTGACAGTTACCTCTTCTTTCTTTCACTGCAGAACTAAAAAATAAAAATTAGCATTTTAGGTTAAAATTTCCCCACCCTTTTGATTTCATCACCCTTTTGCCTTACCTGATCGTAAATAGTCCAGTGGAGTGACAGGCCAAATATTTAAAAGCTCAAATTATCCACATTGTAAGCAACTGTTTTTTTTTTTTAAACATCCAAATATCACTTTTAAAATCATTCTGATGGTACTCTGACTTCTACTAAGGCAAATGGTAGAAGTCTTCTGTTTCTGTCCCACTCTCCATCTGAACGTCTGTTCTGTGAGAATGTTAGTTCGGTGAGCGGCTACGTAATTCCACTAAAAGGGCAGATTGCTTTACAGCAGGAACAAATGATCACGTAACAGCTATCCAATGTAATGGTTTACGACAGAGAATTCCATGCAAAAATATACATACAGTTGGTTTAATATGAGATCATAAGAGCTTCAGATCCTCTAAGTCCTGTATGTTGGGAGGTTGGGCCTCCATGGATCGGACTTGTTTGTTCAGCACATCCCACAGATGCTCGATTGGATTGAGATCTGGGGAATTTGGAGGGCAAGTCAACACCTCAAACTCGTTGTTGTGCTCCTCAAACCATTCCTGAACCATTTTTGTTTTGTGGCAGGGTTAATGCTCTCCTGCTGAGAGAGGCCACAGCCACCAGGGAATATAGTTTCCATGAAAGAGTGTACATGGTCTGCAACAATGCTTAGGTAGGTGTCAAAGTAACATCCACATGGATGGCAGGACCCAAGGTTTTCCAGCAGACATCACCCAAGGCATCACACTGCCTCCGCCGGCTTGCTTTCTTCCCTCCCATGTGTTCCCCAGGTCACCTTCTTCCATTGCTCCATGGTCCACTTCTGATGCTCACATGCCCACTGTTGGCGCTTTTGGCAGTGGACAGGGGTCACCACTGTTCCTTCCTTGGACCACTTTTAATAGATACTGACCACTGCAGACCGGGAGCACCCCACAAGAGCTGTAGTTTTGGAGATGCTCTGATCCAGTCGTCTAGCCATCACAATTTGGGCCTTGTCAAACTTGCTCAAACCCTTAAGCTTGCCCAATTTTCCTGTTTCTAACACATCGACATTTAGGACAAAATGTTCACTTGCTGCCTGATATATCACACCCACTATCAGCTGCCGTGATGAAGAGATAATCAGTGTTATTCACGTCACCTGTCACTGGTCATAATGTTATGTTCAATCTATACTAGACCCAAGAAAAAAACAGAGAATGCATTTAAAAAAAACGGTTCTTTAAAGGTTCTTTACATTAACCAGCGTATCCTGAAGATCCCTTTTATGCTGAAAATGGTTCTTTGTGTTAGAGTTTAGGGCTTTATTCCTGCCTTTTTGTTTTTCAAATCTGTAACTATTAATTCACCTCATTACTGATTTTCTGGATCTCAGACTGACTGTCAACACACTCTCAACAGGTAAATGATTTCATTCTTAAATTTAAATTCAAAATAAACTTTAAAATTGTAACTGGCTTCCTAACAAACATGTTCTGTTCTCTTCTTCGTTGTTTTGGTCACATGTAAGTGTGAGCAGCTCTGTTAAGCTGAGGATACTTCTCTCATCTTCTCCACTAAGTAACATTAACTTATAATCCATATTCTTAGAATTTGTAAATTATTACTTGGGTTTATGCATAAACATACCCAGTCACAAAAAAAATATCAAAGCTATGCCATGACTTTATATCATGTTTTTCTTTTAAGATTGTGAAGGGCTCACATAATGTCCATTTTTTGCTACTTTTGGCCTTCGTGAACATAATGGTTTTTACATAAACAATGGAAGAGACAAACTATAACTCTAAACTCATCTGTGTATTTCAGATGCATCACATCCCACAACCTCATCATCTGCAGAGAAAAATAGCCACTTAATCACACCAAAATGATGCACTTAAAGGGGTCATATGATGCGATTTCAAGTTTTCAAAAGCATCATACGACCCCTTTAAAGGCATCATAGAGGATTACGAAAATACAGTATTTCACTGGAGCTTGGTCTTCATTTCACTATTTTCTGTTTCTATTTTGATTTACTTCTTAAAGTAAAGTTTATTTATGTTCAATGTCAGTGGACATTATTAATGTATTCTGCTAATAACTGTAGATCATTAAAAACATTAAAATCATTAAACAACAAAACATGTTGTTGTTGTTTTTATGTAAAACCCTAATAGATGCTACAAGACATTGTAATACCAGGTAGATAGAGGGGTAAAAAAAAGCAATATTAATAAATAATATATACAAATAAAATGAATACTAATATTATGATATAAATATACTAATATTAATGAAAATAAACCATCATTAAAAACACGATTAAGGTCCTATATAGCATTTTCAAAGCATGGTTCTTCATGGAACCCAATAAAAAGCTAATGTTACAAGCTGAAGAACCCTTTTCTGGTAATGTTTAAAAATGTGTGTAGAGACAGTATATCAAATTTGTGGTTTTGCTTACATTCCTTTACGTATAGTCTATTTAAGAGCTTTGCACATTTGGAAGGGGGTGTGGGTCATTAAAGCCTCTTTTTGCTTGCATCAGCAGGATTGCAGTAGGATTGGAGAGAGATGTAGAGCTATTTTATGGGAGAGAGTAAGGAACGAACAGGTGCAGGCTTTCCAGGATACACACTGCAGATGCTGTTTAAAATCGGAAAACAAATGAAGATCCCTCCCCTCCTCGCACGACTATCCCAAAGGAAACCTTTCCACCGGATTACAGCTCTGAGTACTGGGATCTTTAACACTGTTTTGTTCCATTTCGTCACAAAACGCTCGTGTTCGCACACACTTACACAAATCATGTATCCATGTCCACACAGACTTCACATGGTTCCTTCTCGCTGCATTATTGGATAAAGGGAGGGGGCAGGAATGAGGCAGCGCTCTTTGATGAGTGTGTTTTAAACGTGCTTTTTCTCTGTTTTGAGAGACTGTGGTGTGCAGAGAATAAGGCGGCTTCGATGTCAACAGTATTAAGCATGTCTGGTCAGTTTTGTTATTCAATAAACCTATTGTTTCAAACAGAAAATAGTGCCAGCCGTGAGAGATAGTGAAAAGAAAAAAAGCTGGGAAAATCCCATCTTCCTCTGGCAGGCATTTACTGTATCATAAATATGTCAAATGTTAGGCTATTTAGTTACATATGCACCACACTGCTAGTACATAACGGTTCTTTATTGGCATCTATGGTTCCACGAAGAACCTTTAAGACCTATCCATCTCACAAAAGACTCTTTATCCACCTTAATTTTAATGTATAAGAACTGGCTTCCGGTGTCATTCGCTTCCATTTATTTTAGCTGTACCAAAAAAATCTTACTTCTGTACTGCAAAATAAAGGGGGTAGCGGAAAAAGGTTCTTTAGATTAAAACGTTCTTCACATGACGAAAAAATTTTATTTCAGGAACTGTGCACCAAAAAGGTTCCTTGTGGAACCAAAAATGGTTCTTCATCACTTTGAAACCTTTATTATTAAGAGTGTATGCATATGGAATAAATTATTAATTTAAGTTAGATTAAATTATGTATTCAGTTCATTTGTAAAAGTCCATCCCAAACCCACTAGAGTGAATAACAAGCTGCTCTATAGGTGTCCCGTGTTGCTGGTAAAGCCATATAGGTTTGCTACTGTCAGAATTGATTTATGAAGGTCCCAAAAATGGATGCAGCCCACCAGAAAGCTTCTGTGTCTGTTGCTCCATTTGTTTGTTAATTGCTGCAGATGATGGGACGCCAGAGAGGATATAACACAAGAAGGTGCATGTAAGAGGGAAAAAGTGTGCACATTGAATTCCACAAGAGGAGTGGCGTGAGAGTGAGAGATCGACGTAATAAAAAGACACAAGAGAATATTGGTGTGTGTGTGTGTGTGTGAGAGAGAGAGGTGCGCAATACTGCAGCAGTATTCCTCTCAGTGAAGCCTTCTCAGGTCTGTCTTGCCTTACTAACTAGTGCTGCAGCGGAGGAGAGAGACAGAGAAGAGAAAGAGAGAGAGAGAGAGAGAGGGAGACGCGGCGCACACGCTCACTCCAGTGCTGCAGGACTGCATGAGAGGAACTGAGATAATATCCACACCACCAGCATCCATCACCGGAGCTACAGAGCCATCTCAGCCCGGCTGGTAACGGCACTATGGCACAAGCCGCCAAACATCTGCGCAAGAACAAGGATTTAGAGGCGCTCGCCGAACAGGAGCGGAAGGAGAAAGAGGAGGAGAAGGCGAAGAAAAGGAGCCGCTCACGGGATAAAAAGCGCAAGGTAGGGAAGAGAGATAAGTTGAGAGCGGATGAAGGGAGGGGAGGTATTAATGCTGGATAGCAGCAGGACACGCAGGGCCAGGCATCCGCTGCTGTTTACACGTGCATGGACAGGTGAGGTGCTTCCCCTCCTGAGGGTCCGCTGGCACAAAAGAGCCCAACACCTGAGTCTGTCAGAATCATCAGAGCTGTACACAAAATCAATGGTTTTTATATTTGGCATATTTTCATTTAAAAAAGATTTTAGGAATGTATTAAATAATTGAAACTGCATTTATTCTCTGCGTACTGTGATGGGAATAACAAGTGAGAAGGTGCAGATATGTAATGTAGCCTACCTCTACTATTACAATTCAAAGAAGGCGACCTCACCGCAGGGTTATTGGGATAGGTCATCCAAAAATTACAATTCTGTCATCATTTAGGCTACTCATCCTCAAGTTGTTCCAAACATGTATGCATTTCTTACATTTCATCAACCAATCAGTTGCTGGTTTTGTTTTTTTTCCCATGCTGTAGAAGTCATTAACTGTTTGGTTGCACACATTCTTCAAAATATCTTCTTTTGTGTTTAACAGAAGAAAGAAATTCATACAGGTTTGGAACAACTTGAGGGTGAGTAAGTGATGACAGAATTTTGTGCATAGAAAATAATACATGCATGTTCAATGTTCAATTAAATTAAAATCAGATTGAATATTTTCTATGTTATGTCATTCAAATGACACTCAATTGATATAATCTATAATGTGTCAGAACAGCAGGGAATGTGCAATAATGTATCGCCTTTAAACTAAACTACCTACAAATAGTACATCCATACATGCATAGAAGTAGTTTGTTTCACGCAAAACAAGAGTCTTCTGCAATGAACTCATATGCATAGAAAATGTTTTTGCATAAAAATATGCAAATGTTTTTATAGCTTTTATTTATTTAAAAAATAGCATATGAATTATTAAATGAAATGCTTAGGTATTAAATATAATGCGTTAAATAAAATACATCCTATATTAAAAGTAATGCATGTCTACTATTACAGCTCAAAACAAGGAGACCTTACTGCTGATCTAAGCAGACTTATGAGTTTGGCTCTTCAGTACACAGAGTACAGATACAGTATTGGTAGTCTTGTTCACTCAAAGAAGAGCACGAAACCACTAGGATTAAAGGTTTTCGCTCTAAAAATCAAACAGTGCTTCACTGAGAAGCATTTTAGACTTGTGCGGTACAGCAAAAGACGTTTACGTCAGTAGAGTTTGCTGCACTTTCCTTTTGCTCATCTACGTACATGGAGATATGCTGTTGTTTAGCTCTAACACTTAAACCATTTTCACTGCAGTTTCATATTACAGCAGCTTGCTGAGGAGGGTGCTTGTGTGCCCGGATCTGCGGTGGGACATCACTAATCCCTCTTTCTCCCTCGCTTATTTCCAGCTGTCAGCTTTCATTATGAGGTGTATGGTAAAAATAAAAAATGTGCAGAAGAGCTCTAAGGAAAATATCTACAGGTATAAGTAGTTAACATGCTGACAATTGTTTTATGAGTTCCAACCTTATATAACCAGCCATTCTGTACTTTATGGTACAGAATGTAAAGTGTCTAGAGTGTTTGATACCTTCAGTGAACGGTTTTCATTTCTTTTCCTTGCATCATTTTAATATTTATGGTTAGGTGTATCTCCATGCAGGATGCCTTAAATGTCATTTTGAATTGCAGCAATCAAATGCAATCTCTTCCAAAAGGTGTTAGTGGGTTTTCTCCAAAAAATGAAGTCTCATCAAGGACTGTATTATTTTGAGGATATCTTGTGTTACTTAGAGTACATAATTTCCCAGCAAATTCTTCTTAAACAAGGCTATTGAAATCCTGTGTGCTATCCTCTCTCATACTCACACATCGTGTATTTAAAGTGGCTTGTACACTGATGCAATATCTACAATGATATTGTAACTGAGAGAAATGGCTTCAAAGGGGTTTTTAAATGTCAATTTTCACCGTTTTCTCTGAATCTGAGTATAGCTGAGCCAAACCCCTCAGATGCAGGTGAGATCATGGTCTTAAAAGCACATTTCAGTCATAATACATTTTTTGTGGTTCTGTGCAGTTTGCTATAATATTGTGCTTTAAAAAACTTAAAAAAAAATAGAAATATACTCATTCTCTCACATTAATACACATATATGCATTGTATTCAGTTATATTCAAAGCTTGTCTTGTTCTTGATCTTCATTTTTTTTTGTGCTGAGCCAGCACTTTCTTTCCATGCTATTTAAGCGTGATTTATATGCTACGTGATAGAGAATTATTGCTTTGTGCTTCCCTTGGGCAAGACATTTTCAACATGTATTTGTCTTGTCTATCACTGTATAGACTGTACCTTTTTAATCTTCCACCAACAGTTGTGCATATTTTATTGCAACATGTACAATTCACACACACACACACACAAATGTAATGCAATCATGGTGAAATTTTCTAATGCAAACATGCATGTTTTTTTATTTTATTTATATGCTTTTTATTTATATATATTTTTAAATTTTTCTTTTTGGTTCAGGATGACAAGTCCAAGTGTTGAAATCAAAATGCTGTCAGTGTTATTTATTATTAATTTTTTGGATTGCATTTGTTGATGCAACTTCTTTTATGAACCGGTGTGGTTGAGTCCAGTTAGCCAGCTGGCTTCTCACAGTACTGTAGATCACATTTCATTTTTGACAGTTGCCAGCTAACAATTAACTTTATTGAACTTCAGGATTGTAAATGATGTATGAAGTCGGATGTTGCAACTGGCTGTGCATTGGAGCGCATTGCTGTATATGCAGTACATGTTGCTCATGTTGCTTTTCAAACATACAGTGTTCTGGCAAACTCCTGTTGTCAGCTTAGAGTGAACACTGGACAAAATTTGCAGCAAGTTTCTATTTTCCAATAGAAATTAGCTTTATGGTAAACTGTTTGCAGCAGATTTGCCCCAAATTAAGCGTATGTTGCCTTAAATAACATTTTTGCAAGGGCAGCTCTTTGAAGGCAATTGTTTTTGGGACAGATCCAGCTTAAATAAGCTGTTAAAAAAACTGTTGATTTCATTAACATCTGGGCACATTCTTGCATAGAGTAGTCGATGCTTGCTGGCACATAAAATGTGTAACTTTCGTGCCAAAATTGGCACCAAAATAATGACTTTCAAGAGGTTTCTCAAAATCGGAGTCAAGTTTTTTTTTATTTTAGCGCTTTTCACAATGCACATAATTTCAAAGCAACTTGACAGAAAGTCACACTGTTATAATGACTTAATGCTTTAACATAGAGCAGATTTTAGGGCTGGGCGATACAGTATGGTGATACATAACAATTATGCATAACAAAAAAAATAAATTATCCTCCGGATTTAGATTTAGCTGTACTGTGTTTATTCTTTGGTGTAGCAGATTTATCAGTGCCACATTGTTTTTGGCACACCCCTGGTCATTCAAATGCAATTAAAAGTTACAAAATATGATTGAAACACTTCTAAACCATCTCAAACTCACACCATTGGTTGAACAAAAGCGTGTCCAATCAGACAGCTCAATTAAATAGAGCAATGCTTTGAAAGTGCCACAGAGATTGTTCAAAAAGTAAACCTACAGAAAAAAAGGTACAAAAGCTGTCACTGTGCCGGTACCTTTTCAAAAGGCACACCTTTGTACCTTATTTACTCCTAAAGGGTGCATTTTGATAACTTAAATTTATATTTCAATGCCTAAAGTGTACATATTAGTTCCTAAATGGTACATATTAGTACTTTTTGCAAGGGTACTGCCCCAGTGACAGCTTTTGTACCTTTTTTTCTGAGAGCGTTCAATGGCATACTCACAGTTGTCTGTGCACATTAAAAATTGCAATTTAAGTCAGAGTCAAATCCCTAGTGTTCTTATACTTGCCAGGCAAAGAGAAAAGAGATTTTTAACCTTTTGGATCTTTAACCGATTATTTTCATTGCAATCAGCCTCATCTCAGTCTTCTCAGTGTTTAGAGATGTAGATTTGGTTTGCATTTTTATCAAGACTTTATCTAAACTCATAGTGAAATTGTTTAGATGTTTCACAGGAATGATGATTCAGCTCGTTTAAACTTGACATTTACCACTTCTTAGTGTGTGGTTCTCTTCATGCCACTGAACTAGTTGAGCAGCATAGACAATTCCAGAAGACCTCAGTGCTGAGCTAAGCATCCCAATAATCAATTCTGAAGCAGATAATGCTTTCTGCAGCTGTTGGACTTGTCAATAGTATGTAGCTTCAATACTATCATGTGCTGATTACTATATCTGGATAGACAGAATAATAAATTAATTAATTCACCCACCTTCCTCCTTAATTGGACCAGATCACTACTGCATGCAGTGCAGTACAAATACTTTATTTGGACACTATTGCTAGGTGAAGTTGATATGTTTTAACGAATAACAATGACTTTGACAAAAGAACATGAAATAAACTACATTTAGAAGCTGGTATTGAACTAACTTCATGACCATAAAAAAGTATGTTTTATATAGTATGAGTCGCAGGGCATTGCTGACAAGTTTCTGTACGCACGTTTGGTCCATGCATGTGCTGGACTGTGAGTCTGTACTGTATGTGTGTGCGTTTTTATGAGAAAGAGCGGGAGAAAGAAAGTGTGATTTTCATTGACAATAGAACATACTTTTGTGTGGAAAACATGGAAGTAGCTTGTCGTATTGTTTGTTATATTTATTTGCTTGGTTAATGTCTTTTCGAGTTCTGGTTCTTTTGCTGTTGTAGGTTATTTCTCTTTATTGTAATTGGGTGGGTCCCCCCAGAATGTGCAAGCATATGCACTAGAATAAATCCGGCCCTGAGTGTAGCAGTCATGAGTCATGATACGTTTGGGCATGATGTTGCGGGTTCGCACACTCATTTCAAAATGATATAAAATATCCATGGTTAGATTTAATTTGCAATTTGGATTATTTTAATAAGATAGATGCA